TAAACTGTTTTATTATATTCTTTTAATTATCATCTTACTTTCTATTTATCTATAATGAATATTTTTTGTATTTTGTAAAGCGCTGTTGAACTGCTGGGAATTGGCGTGCAATAAAACATTATTATTATTATTATTAATATAAAACTTTTAAAGCTGGTAAATGCATTGTCTGTATGTAAATAGATTAATCTCTTTGCGATTTGCAATTTTGTTGTCTAATTCCAAAGTGGGACAATCGCAATAAAGTGGACCCCTAATCTAGGTGACAACCAAAGATTAAATTGGGATGTAGAAAAGAAAAGAGATGAAACAGCCTTAGCCTGCGTGGTGGCTCTGGCCAGAGCTGCCATGCAGGCTAGAACAGCCTGGAGCCTGTCGTACCAAGCCTGAATGAGGGACGTTTTAGTTTTCACTGGGGAGGGGGATGTGGCATCAGGAAAAAATCAGGCTCAAAAAGGGGGAGGGGGAACAGAAAAATTCTGAATTGAAAAAAAGAATGGGAAACATGGGATGGGCCATTAAAAAAAAGTAGTAAAGTACCTATGTTTAACGTCGGTAGTTCCTTCAGTTGAAATTCAACTGCTATCAATGGAAGCCGACGGTGCGCACTTTACCCCCTCTCTCCATCAGTTCTCTGTTTTAAGATTATTTAAAGCTGAAGCTAAAAAATGCAACAACATAGAGGAAGCGTCAATTTTTTTTCTTACGGGTCTTACCAAGCAAATCCCACCCCTGACCCACTCCCTGATTTAAAAAAATGACCTCTTAGCTGTATCCACCGGATATATCCCTGTCCAGCAGATCGAATTAATGATACCATGATAGGGTTACACAAAGCTATTTAAAAATTAGAAGTTATTCACTAGATTCAGTACTAGCATGATAACTATTTGCTGAATAATGCTTTAATATCTGGCATGGTGGATAACTATTCAGGCTTCATACAACTGGCACACTTGCAGATCACAACAGGCTTTACTGTAACTTAAGTCAGACAGTGATGCTAAATATATGTCAGGCTACTGACAAAAGTAGCCTTCTCACCACGAGCACACAGTGATACAGCAGGATAAACTTCTTGTCCAAGTAAACCTTGGTCAAATGCCACACCAAGCTCTTTTCCATTGACCATAAATCCTAAGGTACCTTTCTCCATATCTAACAACATTCCAATCATGTCCCATGAATCAAAAAGTGAGCCATATTTCCTTTTTTCTTCCCACATTGGAACCTCGTAAGTTGCACTTCCAACTTGATTAAACGACCAGCCAACTTTGCACCCAGTGTATGGAACCATGTTGAATAGTCTCTTTTTGCAAAACTCTGCAGGCAATAAGCAAACTGCTACCTGTCCACAACAGTTATCAAAATAAAAGACCCATTCATGTTTGCCTCTTTTATATCCATGTCCATATGGAGTGTGGATAAAGGTTGTGCTGTAAAAGTAATGCCCTGAAACAATGATAAGATTAAAATCTATTATTAATCTATTATTATTATTAAGATTTTTGAGTGTGCGAGTCAACGGATGTAGCCCTAGGTTCCAAAGGCCAGATTCTTTTTTTGAAATTTAATAGAATATTAATTGGAAAGCAAGCTGGCTGACCTATCATCAGATCTTCACCTAAATTCATTATTTGAGTGTGTGTGGTACCCATTTGGGTGTTGTTTCATTTACTATGACAGACAGATGATATATATAAACAGATAATAAATGACAATATGACATGTTACCTAATAACTATATCTGTCACTTTTCCATGGAGGATGCCCCTGAATATGTAATATACCATATCCCATAGATAAATATAAAAAATATTGTTGTAGGATTATGTGAAAAAATTTCCTAGAGTGGAAAAACATTTTTGTTATAAAAGTGGAACAACAACAACTCAACAGAGGTGTAGACAGGGGGTGCAAGTGGGCCCACGTCCCCAATCCTCATGCTGTAGAAACCAACATTTCTATGTAGTCACGCGAAATAAGTTTGAATTCCCAATGTTCTGAAAATGGGTTTTGCCCCACCCCCATCCCCCCTTCCTCTGGCCCAAGACAAAATCCTTTCTATAATCCCCTGCCAAACTTTGTTTAGGGATTGTTCATAACATTTTATGGGTATCGAAAGTATTTTTCAAAGCCAATGAATAGGAATGATATCTAGAGTCTACATAAAGTTTGCAGTGTTTTTTTTTTCTTTCTTTTCTTTTTTTTTTTTTTTTTCTGCGGTTGAGGGGGGTGGGTCCCAAGAAGTATGTTATGTTTGAGTGGGGGGCCAACCCAAAAACCATATAACCCCCTTTCCCCCTAGATTATAAACGCTCCCCTTAATTATAAAGTAATGGGGTATGTAGAACAAACCTTTAAAAGATATAGTGCCATCATCACTAGAAAATTCAACGTCACTAGTAGAATATTTTCTGTCGAACTTTGTAGGTTCTTCGTATTCTTTAAGCCACTCTGTCAAGCTGTTTGGTAATGGAAGCTTATGCAGAAGCCTTCTGCTTCCAATAGATCGTATAATCACTCGACGACAAAGGTCTTGAAGACTTTCACAGTTAGGTAACCAGGAACTGTACATTTAAAACATTAAAAAATAAGAAATACGCAATTATGCTTAAAAAACCAACTTCAGTGAATTACACCACAGGAAACCCGGTCGTCATAATCTGCATCAGCACAGGGAACCCAAGCCGAGTGAACGTCAAGAAGGCCTTAGAAATTATAGGAAGATGTAAGCGTTTCTTTAGGAACGTTCCTTATGGTATTACGTTTTTTTACCGCTCATTTATTTCATTTTTTTGGGACCTATGTATTTCATATTTTATCTTCCCTAACTCTTTAAATACGAGATACCTGTGGTAGAAGTCGAGCAAAGGACTGGTGCTTATGCGATTTCAATATGGTGGACGAAGGCGGGAAATTTAGATTCTGGTAAAAATAACTATTTTTGAGGATTTTAAAAACCTATAGGCACCAATTAAGCCTGGTAAACAGAAATGGAAGAAAAAAGTGCTTTCTGCGGCGATAAAAACTTGCTGAATTTAAGTTAGTTTGGAAGAATACTATTTGAATAAGTCATGACATCTCGAAGGATTCAGCGAGTTTCCGGGATTCGTTCAGAATTCATCACCAGATTAACAAAGAATCGTGTCTTAACTTGTAAGGTAAGACTTGAAATATTGTTATTGTTCTTTGTCTCTGTAAAATGTATAATTTAATCTGCAATAACATACTTTGAGCTTGATATGTGGCTTCAGCCAGGGAGGTGTGAGGGAGAAGACGTGTGTTTTTAGGGGTTTTCATTAGTAATCTTGACTCATAATTTAAAAACACAGAACACCCGTTTTGACTTAAAACTCTTGTCAAAGAAGAATTTTAAATGAATCTGAGATTTTTCAGATTCATTATTAAATGGGATCTGCATTTTGAACAAAAAAAAAAAACAAAAACAAAATTTCATCGTTTTTCTATCTAGCCATCTAGGGATCTAGTCAACGTTGTTGAATCAGAATAACCGAGTCACATGACATTGCAGTGCATTGTGGGAGTACTGTTTTCTTGTACATTTTCCAAAATGTCATCTGTTTTCGTCTCCTAAAACAGTCCCACAATGCACTGAAATGCCAACTTAAACCAGCTTTTTCGTCAGCCATAGGATGGCTAATTGTTGGTTAATCTTGGTAATAACCACTTTCACTTTTAAGTAAAAAAAATCTATCGTGAATCACTTCTGCTTCAAGTGGTTTTGGATTAAAAGTATAATGCATAATTTACTTGTAGGATCTGTTGTCAAAGAATCCACTTGAGCTACTAAAATTCACTGGTGCTAGTTACAGGGAAGTACAAGAAATACAAAGAGCTGCAAGCAAGGCTGTTGTACCAAAAGTTTCAACTGTAAGCACCTAATGCAAATTCTATATATTTTTTAGTTCATACGGTATGATCTGAAATATGATAAATAACCAATTTATTCCAATTTATTAACAATTATATTGCAAGGGAGATATAAGAGGTTAGCTCTATCAAGAATATCTCCTAGGATCAAATTTGAATTTAATGACAATTTATTCCAAATAACAATTATATTGCTAGGGAGATATAAGAGGTTAACTCTATAGAAAATATCTCCTAGGATCAAATTTGAATTTAATGAGGCTAAATGTAATTTAGGCAAAGTTAAAACTGAGGCAATGCTGGCCAGCTGTCTCCCTCATGGTAGCTGGTTGGGGGGATCTGAGGGGTCACAGGTGCTTGAAATGTACTTGCCGCTTAATTTATTTCCCCTCCTCCACACTAACTCAAAAATTATTGCTGATCGTTGTGGATCAATATTTACCCACCCACCTCCCTGCTCTTGGTAAGTATAGTATAATTAAGTAATTTCAACTGAGTTTCATTGTGACGGGTGCTAGTGGGTAGACTCTGACATGGTTGCTATGGTTACTTCCATGAGGAACTCAGGCTACCAAGGTCTGTCCTTCTTGTTGGCCCAAACCCCAAGCTCATCTATTGGTGATGAGTTTTAAGAAGTTGATTTTTGTGGAGGGAGGAAAACTGTAGAACCTGGGGGAAAAATCCTCGAAGTACAGGAGAGAACCAACCAACAACTTTACTAACTAAGGTACAATGCCAAGCCTGGTCGGACGTGAACCTGGCCGCTTGGCATCAGTGAGAGACGACGCATTATCAGCACATGCTACCCCTGCTTCTCTACTACCTTTTTCTGTAAGATTAAGGGAAATAGACTTCTTTACTATAATTTATCTTTTCTGACTACCTTTGCGTAATTTCTTACATTATCATATCATAGTATGATTGGTTAACTTACAACCATGATCTAGGTCAGAGTAAGCATACAGATAAAGGGCTTAATCAAAGGAACAGATAAAATTGAAGGCATTGCTGCTGTAACATCAGTTTCATTTCACAGGCTCTTGAACTTCGACAGAACTCATCTAGTCAAGCAGCATTTTTCCCAACCTCTCTTCTACCTCTTGATAAGCAATTACATGGTGGTTTACCATGTGGGACCATATCTGAAGTAAGATCATCTTATGATTCAACATTTCTAATCTGTGTTATTTCTTCCCTTCCTTGATACTGAGATTTTTGCAGATGGGGGCAAAGAATAGAGGAGGGATGGTAGGAGGCAAGGAAGGACATAGGAAGGAGTAAAGAAAGAAAGGAAGGAAGGAAGGAAGAATGAAAGAATAGAAGGAAGGAAGGAAGAAAGAAAGTAAGAAAGAAAGAATGAAAAAACAAAGAAAGGGGGAGAGGAGAAAAAAAGAAAGGAGAGGAAAAAGGAGCAAGGTGGCAAAGAAGAAGGGAAGAAATAATGGGATGAAAAAGGAGGGTTAAAGGGTAGACAGTAAAAAAAGAAGAAAAAGAGGGGAAAAAACTAAAAAGGTTGTTATTAAAAGGTCTAAACACATTTTTTTAAATCCTTGTAGATAACAGGACCTGCTGGTTGTGGCAAGACACAGTTCTGCATCATGCTTAGTATCCTAGCAACCCTACCAGTAGACAAAGGGGGATTGGAATCCAATGTTATCTATATTGATACAGAAGCAGCATTTAGCGCTACTAGGTAAATCCTAATATTTAAATTATTTGTTATAGATTAGCCACTTTTGGGTAATTCTGTTTGGCTACACTTAAGACACGGAGATATGGTGCAACATTGGGTGCAACATTGCAGGTAATGTTGCTGAAGTAGGATAGATTTCTATTTCAGCAGTGTTGCATGCAACAAATTGTGTCATGTGTCATGGCTTGCAACATCAATAGTCCCCTTCACAGTTCCCTGCGCCATCTTGGAAGGTAGCTATGCTGTTTCATCGAAGCGAGATGAACAGTGAGCTTGCGATGATAGATACGCGTAAATAATTGTCCAAGCTGTTAAAATTGCATCATTGCAAGTTCATTATTCATCTCGCTTCGATGCACTGGCATGGCTACCTATGAAATGGCACAGATAACTGTAAAAAGGACTATTGTCTGCTTACTCACCTCTAGCAAATTTGGTTAAGCCACATTTTAAATTCTGTCTGGAGCCATTACCTATGTCAGTCTTCTTCTTACTTTAGGTTAGTTGAAATGGCTGAAAGTCGTTTTCCTGAACTTTTCGACTCTCAGAGCTCTGTGCTGGCCCTCACAGAGAAGATCCATGTCTTCTGGGAACCAACCTGCAGTGCCTTATGGGAAAGGTACTGAATTAATTACTGCATTCAATGATAAAGATCAGAATCTAGTAAAAACATTTGTTTGCAATTTTCTCTAATCCAAGCTTAAATTCATATCAGGCTAATGTCATTACCAACATTATTGATATTTATTGTTTTTATTTATAAAACTAGTTTGGCTGTAGGCACATTATGAGGGACTAAAGAGTTGCAAAATCTATGACTGCAAAAAAAAAAGGAAGTGTAAATAACTTCACTTTGGGGTTTCGTGCCTTCAAAGTCTGTCTTTCCTGTGGATGAGTTGACTTCATTAGCAAGGTTTTGAATGAAATCCTCAATTAACAGAACCCCAAAAAGAAATTGTTTAAGGCTTCTGGTTGAGGTCCCTATCGTAGATTTTTCAAATATTATGCATAAGAGTGACCAACCTTGGCTGATCAAACGAGCTAAGATCTTTATTTTATAACCCAGGCTACAGACATTAGAAGAAGAGGTCATAGCTAAGAAAGTAAAGCTAATTGTATTGGATTCCATAGCATCTGTAGTAAGGAAGGAATTCGATAGCAGATCATCAAAGAATATTACTGAAAGGACTAATTTATTATCCAAGGAGGCAGCTATACTAAAGTAAGTATAACCTACCCACTTATCAATCCATCCATTCATCCATCCATTCATCCGTCCGTCCGTCCTTCCGTCCGTCCGTCAATCAATCAATCAATCGAACTCATCCCATCCCACGCCATCCATCTATCCATTCACCCAAATGGTGTCCCTTCCATCCTCCCATTAATTTGTCTGTCCATCCGTCTAAGTTATGTTACATTTTCCCCCCCAATGTTATACTAAGCTTCATCAGTCCATTCATATATGTCCGTCTTTATGTTCTTTCATCTGTAATTCCAATTCTCTTATGTCCTGTTTTTATATTTTTCAGGTATATTGCAGAGACTTTCAACATACCGGTAAGACTATGATTATATAAAACAAAGAAAAGGAGATTTTCTCGCCAACAATTCCTTTACACGAAGCTCTCTGTTTAGTCAGAGCAGAGTCAGCAATTTCTGTATCAACATAACTTCCAGTGTCGAGTATCTAGCTGAATGTCAGCAACTCAGCCAAACCTGTGCTCTAAGGTTTCTTTCGAAATACTAGGGTCCGCAAACACCAAATTTCGACTCATATAACCAATACTCGACCATCAAGTTAATCATGTGATTTTGTCCCTTTTCTGTTAATCAGCCACATTCCCTTGCATTTTGTCTATGTTCTAATTCACCTAAATAATATAACAAACGTTTATCCCTGTGAGCGTAAAACATTTTGATATGAGAAGTACATATTTTTGCATTGGAAGCTTATTATTGCTCGTTCAGCTAAAGGTAATTTACTGTCCATTGGTAAGGCTCATGTCAAACATCAAGCTTATTTTGAGCCGAACCAAATGACATTAAAAAAGACCGCCTTGTTATCCATTCCTGCAATTAGGTTCGGCTCATGTAAAGTTCGACGTTTGACTTGAGCCTAATTGTGTTTTTAAATCTCTTTTAAGGTTGTAGTAACCAATCAAATAACTACTCGATACAATGAAGTAGACCCATACAGTGACAAAATCCTTCAAGAAGTGGCCGACTTAGATGGCGGAGACATAGAGACTGACGATGATGGCTCAAGTCACGTGATGGCTGCCTTGGGTAACACGTGGTCTCATGCTGTTAATACCCGACTCATTGTCCAGTACTTGGATGATTTGTACAGACAGGTATTGTCAATGTTCATATATCAAGCGGATATATATCGATGGATTTTCTTCAAACTTGGCAGACAGAATTGCTTTATTTCACTATGACGTCACATCAAAACAATCTATTGTTTAAACGTAAAGGATCATGGTCGTCGGAGGGGGTCAAATCAACGCAAATTCACCGAAAATTGTTCTAAAACCCGTATCAATCCACGAAGAGAAGTAGAATAGCCAGCAAACTCTCAGAATATTTTTTAGTACATATTAACTCATTATATCTGAAAACCAGGCCATTTTAGATTAAACAGTTTCGCTAGGAGCAAATTTTGTTGAATTTTCTATTGGATTTTGCGATTTTATCCCCACATAAACAAGCAGTGACGTCATAGTGAGGTAGGGCAAATGTGACCATCTATTTACCAATTATCTGAAGTTTCATGAAAATCCTCGATTTTAGTAAGCAGGAGGACAATATTGTGAAAAACCTCTGTTAGAAAATACACCTCTAAAAGCTTATTAAATGTTTGAGCTACTACATTAGCTAAATTCAGAAATATCCGAGTATTTTTGACGCGATAATAGCTAAATTCACTCGCAATCAAACTGGAGTCACCTTGATTGGTGTAAATGGTAGGAACTCTGAGGTCAATATTGACGTGCGGTACAAGGACAGGTGAAGAAGTGGAGAGTAGGAAGGAAGTGTGCAGACGTTCTCTATATGGTGTTCAGAATTATACTAAGCATAGCAGGAGAGTGGGTTCCGATGGAGCTAGGAATTAGAGATTAGGATATATAAAAAGTGGCTTCTGGAGAGAGAAGAAAAAGAATGCCTAGAGAAATGAAAAACAAAAAGAAAAAAGAAAATGAAAAAGAAACAAAACAAAATAGAAACAAAACAAAACAAAAACAAGAAAACAAAACAAAACAAAACAAAAACAAAAAACAAAAAACAAAACAAAACAAAAAAAAAAAAAACAAAATCAAAAACAAAAACAAAAAACAAAACAAAACAAAAAAACAACAACAACAACAGCAACAACAACTACAACAATGGTGACAATTAGTATTTAGTATTTAGCACAAAACGACTTCTGTCTTCAGGGACCTATAATAAATATAAATAAATAACAACTTTATTTAATGAGGGTGGCACTAAATAGTGTACTACACTAATAAACTTGTGGCCCTCAACATAAAACTGAGCAGCGTCCTTTGGTTGGGAATGTTTTGGATCGTGCATTGGAAACTGTACTTGTAAGTTAGTTTTCCTCAACGTTGAACTAATCCAATACTCATATCATTTGCAGATTATAGTATCCAAATCCCCAATAGCTCCATTTGGTATCTTTACTTATACCATTCAGACCAAAGGCGTGGTGTTGGTGGAGCCAGCCAAAGCTGCTAAGTTGCATTCAGGTATATGACAATATTCTTATAAAGATATACGACAAGGGTTCTGATTACTACAGTCAATCTACAAACGGACGAACTGTGATACAACTTATTGTGTAATCAATTCTTTATTATCCGAAAAATGGGGTTCTACTGCATATTTTCAATCTCTTTTACTTTGGTGACTTTTGCTAATTTGTACTCTTAACTCCCTAAAGACCTCGGAAAGCGGGCGTTGCATTATAATTAATCAACACTAAGCATATGACGTGCATTTTTTTTACAGTAAAAACACTTTAACCGTAAAAACTTTGAGGTTTTTCAGGTTACTGTTTCCTGAACTTTCTACTGTTTTGAAACCATCTAAAATGAAGTATTGATGGTTTTCAAGGCGGCCATGTTGGAGGAACTTAACAAAAGAATTGTCAATGAGTTCTTTTGTTATATCCTCCAACATGGCCGCCGTGTCTTTTGCTATTTAATTCTCTTGGGAATGGTTGAAAACTATCAATTGAGTTCAGATACACCGAGTGATCAAAATGAATCTTATTTCCAATCGATTGTCTCACAATAAATCAAGGGATGATTTACAGTATGTATTCTTAAAAGTCGACAAAAAATTTCGAAGGGTTTACAGTTCGACTCTTCTCACTTTAAATATTTATATCAGGCTTTTCAAAGAGTATTGTAAGATTATATTACTCTAACACTTTCCAAAAGTCGAGCTTAATTCCAGGATCTCAAACCGCGAGGTTTTTTGATGTCCTTGTACGAGACTGACAGCTGATCTGACAAGAAATGTTCGCCAATCAGAATCGAGAAAATTTTCAAAATTGAGTGGAAACTTTTCCTTTTGAAATTATGGAATTCCAGGCCACTAAATGAGGGGGGAAAGGTTGCTAATAAGAGCTTGATAAGAGTGACACAAGGACACAGTAATTAATGATTTTTGTATTTTCATGTCAATGGCTGGCATGTTTTTATTTTTCCCGCTGGTTAAAAAAATTAAACTGGATTGATTTATTAAAATATTTCTTCTTAATTTTATAGACAAAGATCGACTTCAAAGTTCTGGGAATCCTTCACTTCAACCAATTCAAGTACGCTCTAGCTTCACCTGGTCGGATTAATGAAATCTTTGGCTATACTATAAGGTAAGGGAGCTCATTTCAGTGAAAGCCGAAGCGAAATAGAAAATTTGTTGCGAACATTTAAAAAGTACACAAATCAAGGTTACAAATTTAACCCTGAATACGTCTATGCGTTGCGCAGTTTGGGACTACACGTTTCTCAATTTTTCTGTTTTATTCTTGTATTTAACAAATAATTTTAAAAAATATTAAGGCTACCGTAAAGTTTAAATCCTCGGATTGTACTTTATTGCTATTCGCGGGTTTTCGACTAATAAATTTAATCAACTTCGGAAATATCATTTGAGTGGAACTACCGTTACAGGGATCCGTTACATTTGATGTCCATGTCTTTGATAATTAGATACGCTGCAATATCATCTAAATATCACGATTTGTCCTGATCTGCTACTGGGTTACCTGTGTTATTTGCTCAGCCTAGATTCGGCCGTCTTTGTCCGTGGTAGTGAATGGCCGTTTGTATACAAAGTCCAGAACCTGCTGTAAACACTATAGTGCTAATTGAACTAATTGCGATGAGTTAATCATGATGGTCTTCTGGCCGTAGCAAGCACCGCCTATTTCTGTGTAATCCTTTATAAAATCCCATCCCTATAAAGGCCTGAAACCAAACAAAGATGACAACGAAAAGGTCCTTTATTATCTATTGTACAGTGTAATAGAGTGGTTCTCATCCAGTGTTTTCTAACACTCAACAAAGCATCCAATAAACAAAGAAACCCACTCTTTTGTGGCTCATTGAGGGCTAAAGATTAAGAGAGACTTTGTATTGTTTGAGCAAAGTACCGGAAACGGGGAATTATATTGTTTGTTTTGCTCATTGAACAGCTTGGAGTAGGGATTGACAAGTTTTTCATTTACATATCAAAGAGGCTTTCAATCAATTTAAGAGCTTGTATCGCCACGCTGTGGCTTTGTCGGCAATTCAAAAATAAAAATCATTAACGAACCTTGAATCTGAAATTGCACCAAAACTCGCACTCTTATCTTGTTCAGCTATAACGATTACCTCGTGTTTTGTCCTTTTACGAGTTTTACTTATTTGAACAAGTGTCAGTCCATAAACCATAGCTACTTAGAGTTACTTATCATTAATAAGTGATAATAGGTTGAATTTGTCTGCTAATTACTTTAAGTATACAGTACTTTGATAAACAAGGCTCCAGCTACCTATTTATCAAACTCTCATTGTTTTCTTGTGCACCTAAAAGATTTATAGTTATTCCTATCTAAACAGTAAGATTATTGGCCCTTGTAGTGTAACCTCTTAATGTTTATGGTTGATATTTGTTGTCTTTTATAAGGGAATATTCTGCTTTCTTGACATGCATTGAATAAAAACAATAGATAGCAAATCGTATATATTTTAAAGAACTTTGATCACAGGCTTAAAAGTATTTAGCATTCGGCAATAGCTTTTCTGCCACACTTCGTTTCGAAAGTAATCTTTGTGAGCTCTCTTCAAATTTCTCATTTTTTATCCCCGTCTTATATTACCTTCGTTTCCTTGATTTGTTCAAAGTTAACACGAGCAATTATTGCCCTGACTAGTCAGTATTTCGATGACTCCTAATTAAACGTCAATAAACGATTAATGGCCAACCTTTAGTCAGGACAAGCCTCTCGTTTTGTCTACGGCAATATAAACCCAACAACGCTAGAGTCACACTGAGTACCCTTCCACTGTTAGTTTTTTTAAAGCAAAATCTTACACATGCATTTTCAGGGCATATAGTTTATTTACAATTTACTTTAGATATCTTTTATTGCAAGAAAAAAAGAAAGACGCCACTCACGGGGTTGGTATACCACACCTCATCTAATCTTCACCAGCTTCCAGAAATTTATTCACTTCTTCTGCTCTTGATAACTTTATATGAAGTGCATAAAGAATAACAGTCTCCAACGGTTTTCAATATCTGGCAAATGTTTTGAAGTCTTTCCAATTTCACTACGTTCTGTAAATTTATATATATATATGAATTATGATTATCTCTGAAATAAAGGGTTCATTGATTAAGATACTCCTTTCCGACCGGTTTCTAGCTAGAAAGAGCACGTTGGCTTGAGCAAGGCCCATATCCCATTCTTTGGGGGAAAGACAAAGTCGGGTTGACATCACTACTTTTGGTCGGGCTGGAAAGTATCTCGGGTACACGCCGGGCAGGCAAGTCGAATTTGGTCCATGGTGATGGGTGGATGGTGTGTTGGAAAAGCTGATTAGCTGGAGATGGAAATGGATTGAACGAGCAGGGCGCGGAACGAAACGCGCTTGGTGGATTTGAGATGGGGTAGCTGTGTTGATGTGGAAGCTTGTAGCCTGATGTCTGTGAATAGATCGAGGGTTCTCTTTGATATCCAGGAAGGTTGAAGGGCATTGTTCCATCGCATATTGGCGAAACTGGAACTCTGAGAAATCCAGACGAATTCGATATGGAGGAATTCAGCCCTGGAGTGTAGCCATGCCAGTTCACGTAAGTACACATATTTGTGCGTGCGTTGAACGACCAACAACCAGGGTTTGGAGAGATTCTTTGTTGTCTTTTCAGTCGGTTTTTTGACAAAGGAGGGTTTCGTCGTTTAAGTTTCCCTGTGGTACAGCCTATTACTATATCATCTGCACATGGGTCAAGCATCCAGTAATTCCCTTTACCAGGATCATCATAATGTCGGGGCACCTTGACGAAGCATTTATTGAGGGAGAGGTTGTGTCTTATCGTGTTCTGCCATCCTTGTTTGTTTTCTCGGTAGTAAGGAAAGTTCTAGAATGATAAAGAAAGTACGAAATGAGAACTTGTGTTTTGTAGTTCTGCTTCAGAATCAAAGCATCGTTTTTTAATCCAATTCAACCATCTTTGCCTGTTGTCCCTGTTATAAACGAAATTCATTCTGGACAAAAGTCTGACAAAGAAAGTACTAAGTAAGTACTAAGTACTTAGAGTTCTGCTTAACAGTAGTAAGCATTTGTTATCATGAGGTTGCGTCTAATCTAGTTTTGCCGACCTTGCAATAATTTCCCTATAGCACTGAGGAAGCTTTCTGGGTCAAAGACAGTTGCTTGTTTGATTTCGGCTTCACCGACATTCTAATGGAGCTCAAGAAACTACGAAAGTGAACGCCCTAACTGGACTGCAAGCGTTGACACGATCCTGTTCTTGAGGCTTTTTATGTTTTAGTTCAAGTTTAGTTTCTTTATAGTTTCCGGATTTGAACTAAGCTAACGTGTTCAAAGACACGAGTCAATATTTAGGGTGAAATATAATGTCATAGGAAGCATCAAGACCATACACTTTGTCTTCCATTGTTCTCTAACACTTGGAGTCCTATGTGTATATATACTTGCTTAAAAAGCCAGTCTCGCGGTCTCACGGCATTGCGTAAAAATGTTTGAAAATGTACAATCTAAACTTCAGATTTTTAGAACAGTGTAAATCATGTGGTCGTCCAATTTCTTTGTGATAATCTCTTGAAAGCGAATTTGCCCGAGTTTACTGTCGAAGTTAAGAAGCTTTACTGATTGTTTACTTGAACTTTTTAATATCTTTGTCTTGACGGAAAACAAGTTTTTAACTAAATATGTCGTCACAAACTTATTTTGTATCTCATGCATGCTATGGGTGCTCTTAAACGACAAGGCTTAGAGATTATAGTGTGCAGAACAGGACATTCTTACTTTTGTCTGTTGCGCGCTTTACTTAACGATTTGTATTATGCTGGTTTAAATCTTCACCACTGGTCAAATAATTTGGTTATGTAACGGTATTGTGAACTGAAGTGCTTGAGCAAAAGATAGAATTTATAGCAAGTTCACGCAACGTTATATTCCGTCAGAGTTGGATACAGCTAAGGTTATTCTGACTGTTGAGCTATGTTGATGCGCCTGACTATATACCGTGGAAGTTAAGCCAGCCTTTACCAAAAACTATATTCCATCTTTCGTACTATCTTGGGCTTAGTTTGTTTAGTGAAAAGTTATTGTTATATTAACGTTTATAGATCTTATTATTTTTGCGTGTTGATAAGCGTTGCAAGGACGGATATATAGCTAGCTAATGATATAAAAGTAGTTACCTTTATGATGTACTCATAGATACCACTTAGAGTTAGACGCTTCTCTTCCGATCCTCTGATTCCCATCATGATAAGTGCGTTGTATGAAAATGTTGGCTTCTCGTTTTTTTTGCTTAGGTCCTCGTCTTGTTCGTCAGATACTTCACCTTGCTTGTCACTTTTTTTCGTATTCTCTGGCTGTACTTCACTCAAAGAAACGGTTTCCTTCTTAGAAACTCGTTGTGCTCCTAGAATATCATTTTCTTCGTTATTGTTGTTCTTCTTCTTGCTACTACATTGATTAATTGACTGCTCGTCTTTTGATGCTATCATGTTGAGAAGCTGTTTCCTGTGCAGGGCTACGGTGTTAAAAAGAGTCACTCTAGAGTTACTGTTATGTTTGCTGTCAGATAGCAATCCTGTTGTCTAGATGGTTTCACACAACCTAAGACGAAACTGATATGACTAAATCTCTATCTATATTGTTCTCCTCCAATGGGACAGCCCATTAAGTCCCTATTGTTGGGTTTTCAATGGACTATCCAGTGCGGATCCGTAATGAGTAATTTTGGAGTCCTGTACACTGTATTTAGCCACATCAATAGAGCGGTGCTCTATGGAACAAAGCACTCGACCAATAAGGGGTTCTGTCAACCACTCCCACATCAACGTGAAACATTCAACATCACTTGACAAAGAACCAAATGTTTATTCAAATCACGGTCTGTTCTCCACTTTGCATACAGTGGGACGAGTATTCTTTATTTGTTCGTGCAGTTAAATATCAATCTCGACCAGCTGACTTAAAAACCCACAACAAAAGAGCCTATTAGTAATAGCTCATCCTTGAACTTGTTTTGATGTTCTGATTTGGTTTAATTTGATGTTCGTTATGTATCGTTTTGTTCTGACCAGCGTGGAGTTTTTATACATACGTTATCTCAAATCAGACTTGAAAATCTAGATATATACCTGAATGTTTACTTAAGATATACTTAATCAATCAAAAATGTCTAAACTCCAAATAAAATAAAATAAATGTGAAAAACTTTAAAAGACCTGTACATACTACTACCTACAGAGGCAATATGCCTCTCGAAGAAAAATCTTAAAGTCACACTCTTTTTGGCAAAGTCTTTCAATGTTTTCCACAAGCACTGCATTTCATTTGAAAAGTATAGAATCAGATATCGCGTCCTTACGGTAATCAAAACGGCTGTGGACAATGAGGTACTACCTCGTGACCTACAAAAGACTCCTCGTTAATAGGATGTTTATTGTTTTACAGATATAGCCGGCCTAACACATGCTTTTTTTCTTTTTGTGTGTGCGTGTGTGTTTACTTCGATTATCGACGTCGTGCCTCCGATTATGGCATTAGTTGGCTTTTATCAGCTGTTTAAGTATTATAAGTAGTTATTAACGTTAATGAATTGTATTTGCGACAATATATATACATTTGTTTTAAAAATCTCAGTTAAGGTCCCCCCCACACTAGCCTGGCTCAGGTCCCCACAAATATATCCAATAAATGCGTCAACATAATTTACATCACGATGCATTCGGTCAATTTTAGCCAACTTGCTTATAAAACCCTTATTATCTTGAGTTTAAATTGTTCAAGCCATGCATAAACATAGCTATTTTGAAATAATTTCTGATTATTAGCACAACCGGTTAATGTCTACAAAGAAGACACGATTTTGTAATGAATTTCGACTCAACTTCCTCGGGTTTCTCCTACTATCGCACATGGATGACTCTAAAAACCAAAATACGACAAGATTTTTCAGATGTTTTATTTATTTAAGCAAATTTTAAAAACTTTTACCGCGTGTGTAACAAAAGTGTTTGTTTAAATGAAAAGTTTGAAAACCCTTTAACTGAGTGAGTGATTCTTTCCAGAAAACTTAAAATAAGTTGCATTGCTCAAGGTATAAATTCTTTGCAGTTTGCATCCTTTTCTTATACACTTTTTGTTGTCAGTATTAGCTTTAACGGTTGTAAGAATTTGAAGTGTATGCCAAAAGTCGATAAAATAAAGTTCGAGGTGTACTTGTATTAGACATTCGAAAAAAGCCAATCAAACAAATAATTGTATTATCACTCTATAATCCCATATAAGTAACTATTGTATTATTTTCAAATTCTCTTTCCTGTCCAAATTAAAGATTAATTTGGATCGTTTCTATTTGCATTCTTTCGAGGGAAAACTATGACTTATGGAATCAGTCTAGTTTGGGATGATATAATCAATCTGCAAAAGGACTACATGTTCGTCCAATTTGGAAATAATGAAATTCAAAAAATTCCTCTGACTTCCAAATAGGACTCTGCCTATCGGCCTCTTCCAATTTTGTCAGTCCTCGGAATTTTTGTCATCCAATTATTTCCAAATTGGACAGCATGTAGTCCTATTATCTATACAAACTCTTTGTTTTTAAACAAATTCGATTGTTTTTAAACAATCCTGATAAACTGTCAAAATTGTTTTCAAACGAAATTAACTTCATTTACAGAGCACACTTCTAAGTATTACAGTTTGTTCTAAACATGGATCTTAAAAGGGCAGTCCCTTAAAGATTTATCATTTTTAGCTTTTTTTAAAGTTTTGACAAGGAATCGTTGTAAAGACTCGACGATAGAATGCGAAGTGTCAGTAATGAATTTTATCTCCTAGGACTCGCGAAATTAAGTCTCTTTTAACTGACTAGGAGTATATAAGCTCGAACCGGCAATTGCGTGATTTTGATGTTAAGACATAAGGTCTTATAGTTATTTTCTCAGCATGTCTGCAAATTGCTCCCTACAGCTATATCACAAAACACCGATAAAATGCCAAGGCCTTTTAACAGCAACCCACGGAAAGATCATTGTATTTCATTCTTATAGCTATTCCCTCAGAATGTCTGCAAACCGCTCCCTACAGCTATATCACAAAACACCGATAAAATGTCAAGGCCTTTTAACAGCAACCCACGGAAAGATCATTGTATTTGATTCATTGCCTATTATTCGATAATGTGTTTAAAGGCTGTAAACTTTACGGTATGGGGTGCTATGTATAACACATCAACAGGTGTAAAACATTTGTTCCATTTTTGTTCCATGTGCCGTGTGAACAGATTAAGTGGTTCTATGCACTGAAAGTGATAAAAAGATTCGAGTGAGACCTATATGACTATTGTTGAAGGATTGCCTAAAAAAATTCAGACCTAGAACGGGACACGGCCCATAACCTATCTAAGCCACAGGGGTAGACCTGGGCTGTGTAAGCTACAGGAGTAAGGTCAGGCGTGATTTGTTTTCCTATGAACTAAGTTTAATTCGTAAGACAATACTGACTTGGAATTTACTGTCAATCTGCTTGCAAACGAAATTTAATAAATGAGTAAATAATGCAAACGAACTAATGGCTTAAACAAATGGTTACGATGATAACACAATAAATAATGCAGCAGCATGCAGCTGCTATTAATAATAATAAAGTTATTATTAAGAAAATAATAATAATAATGATAATGCAGCAGCAAGTATGGCTGTTTCAGTCCTCTTTCCATCGTCGAACTAGAATTGGGAAGGGTTTATTTTTGGGAAGAGCAACGGAAAGCCTACAGTAACACTGTAGCAGTGAAGAGCCTAGAGAATAATACTCTAAGCACGATATGGCACCAATAAAAAAAACTTCCAACATAATAACGAATTCTTTCCATCTCGAATTGGAATTGGGAAGGGTTTATTTTTGGGAAAATGAATGGAGAACCTAGAGAATAACACTCTAAGCACGATATTGATATAGCACCAACAAAAAATTCTTTCAACATATGCACGTATGGCAGGTCCAGCCCTTGTACTAACGACCAAGTTAGAAAGAGGAGTTGCATTTCCATCATCGCTTCCAACTTCCCAGAAGACCTCATAAAATATCTAGCTAGATTTAGCATAGTTTTAATAGGCTCTTCTCAATAGCTGGCAATCGAATTAAGTCTGGAACATTTAAGTCTAATTGATGATAGTCAATCGATATTTTGGTTGAGTGGTTAATCCCTAATTTTCAAACTCTGTCTAACACAGACAACTACATGCCATTCGCTGAGGGCGAGACGAAAACATTTGAGAAATCTTTGCTCTTAACCATTTGAACTGTTTTTGCCTTTTTAATTCGTTAAGTTTCAACCAATAAATTACGCGTGGATTATAGTAATGATTGGTCAATAAAACTATTCCAATCAAACTGTAGTCAAAGTAGGATTCCACTGCATTTGCGTGAACGAGTACTGAATTATTAATAAAACACTAGATCGTGGGAATAAAAACTTTCTCCAAAATGTTGTACCAGTTTGTATTACTTGTCCGGATCCATTTGGTATTGGGAAAAAAACACGTGCTTGAAGATCCCGGTGTAAATATCAGTGATAACCATTTTTCTCCCTTCGCTCGAATCATTTTGAACTGGGATCACTGTTTATCCTTCAGCTAAAAGTACGATGAAAAAGCAAATGTTGGAATGTTTACATTGGTATGTCAGGTAAAGTTAAGTGCATGGATATATTGTAAAATATCAGTTTTAATTCAGTTTTCTTTAAGTTGAGAAAAGATAAATTACATGTTTACAAGAATCCATGTGTTCTCTCTTAGCATTTGACAAAGACAAGACTGTACAGTCAGACCCTTACTTATTCACCAGCAACTCTAATCTTTGTTGTTTTCTAATCGGCTTAACTCTTAACAATAAAGATTACTGTTTTACTCTAATTCCACCTGTCAAGCTTTTCTCGTACTAAGTCAGCCGTAATTTCCACAGGCGTGCGTGTACAAAATGCGTTGCTCTCTTGGATTTGCAATCCCCTGTTAAATTTTAATGATCTACGAAAAAAAAACGAAGACAATTATTCCTAACTAAAAGAAAAATGACTATTTAGTTAGTACTAGTTAATAAAAACAAAAGAAAACAATGGGCTTAGAGTCTACTTCTAACTATTATGCGTACTATTTTTTCACGAGTTAAATACAAATATTCTAGTTGTCTTTTTAGATGGAGGACTCTTTAACTTGCGACACCCAACATTCCTTGACCATATATAGTATTTTGAAACAACTATATTTAATCCTATGTAAATGCCGTACAATGACATATGGTCCGAAATGTAATTTCAACTTAACAAAAGAGGATAAGTAGCTGATGAAAACATACTTTATAAATGACAAATACGGGATTAAGATCTAGCAGGTAACGAGCAAGTAGAAAGGCTAACAATCAATTAGCTGGTAAATGAAAAATTAACTTTTGGCCAACAGATGTGCAAATGATCAAGGAAAAAGTGGTACTTTTGTCTGCCATATAGATTTGCCGCGTCGTCAGTTGTCAAATTGCATTAGGTTTCTTTTTTATGCTGATAATGGTAGTCACTTGCAAGAATTATATCCAAAACGTCATGCCGGCTTATAAAATTTTACCCGTTCAAACCTAAATACTTAGAATTACTTGCAATAAGTTTAGATTTGGCCAACAACCTTATGCCGTTCTTCTCGATACCAGAGAGTAAAATAAAGAAGTGGAATAACTGGAAAAGAAACTTTCAAAGAAACTTGTATCTAAATGATAAGATCACATGTACTATGCAGTAGGTACTATGAAAATAGGTTCAAACGTTAACTGATCAGGAATGCATACTTGGGGCAACATAATGCTGAGTGCTTACTTGGTGAAGGAAAAGGCATTCATGAGCGTAAAACAGGCAATTATAATACGGTTGAATTGATGAAATGGCACATTTTGTAACAGTTACTGGAAAATAGAAACATGCGTGACGAAAATAAGAAAGAAGATAAATATTTAAAGAGCAGTTTCTTGATCAATGAAAATATGCATTCCATAGTTGTAGCTGAAAAATGAAGAGCGAAAGAAAAAGAAAAAAGGTTTGAACTAACAAAGAAGGCGTCACATGAAGCTGGCAATTATAGAACTTTGCTTACAAGCCACGAATAGAAAAAGGGGGTAAATAGGTTAGAAGCAGATTTTGGGTATCTAATGTCAGTAAGCAATCTTAGGAGGCCTTTAGTGCATTCTTAGAAGTGGAACCATATTTTTAGTGCAGTAATGATAAAAAGGTAAATTATACACCGTGGAAAGATGAAAAAACTTACTGACGTTTCGGACGCTAGTCCTCCGACGAAGGACTAGCGTCCGAAACGTCAGTAAGTTTTTTCATCTTTTCACGGTGTATAAGGCCTAGAGCAGAGGTCGAACTTTCCATGCACCGAACTTAATTACATCGAAGAATGCCGCCTCATTATCACCTGATATCCATTGTTTTTAATGAGTTCGGTGCATGGAAAGTTCGACGTTTGCCCAAGGCCTAATTTACCTTTTTATCATTACTGTTTCATTAGAAACACCGACGCAGCTGACACTAATTTTTAGCTAGTTATATCTTCATATTTTGAATGATTTTATTTCCGTCCATCAAGCTTACGACAGTCAGAGTTACTAGTTTATCGCCTGATATTAAACGACGGAAAGCTCACTAATCTCATGTACGGAGTTACAGAAACATGTTTTACAAACAGCTCTTAGTCTGTCACTTTTCGATAGCGTATTGGTTATCACATCCATTTCATCCGCCAAGCACGTTCTAACTGGCAAAAGACCAAGGTTTCAGGTTCGCGTATTCCACGTGCCTAACCTAAGTGGTTGTTGAACTTTGTTTTGCAGCTGACATTCTTGGTAATTTACAGGTATCGCTTTCTACTACATTTCATTTCCAATCTCTTCTCACTATTTGAATATTTACTCCTCAAGAACCTACACTTAACTGGGTTGATTCCATTTGATGAGCAAGCAAAATAATTCCTCTGTCTATTAATGCGAATAAAGGGTTCTAACTTATGTTGATATCATAGTGATTATGTCTGTAGTAGAGATCAACACGTGCATGGGGGTATTATCGGGTTGACGTAAACAATAATCCCTGAAGTTATTTTCTTCTTAAACGATTGAGATTTTACTTTGAATTGTTCGTAGCTCCTTTCTTTTTCTTCAATATAATAGTATCTTTTCATTCTGGCTTGAAATTTAATCCAGTAGTGTTTATTGTTATGCGCGCGCAATGGTAGTACAGAATTTCGTAATGATTGTGATAATTTCATTCCCATGCATCTTTGCGCGCCTACGTACGTTGATTTGGATACGAAAAAAAAAAAAGCAGAAATAAACGTGGGTTAAGTTCTGGACTACTTCAGATTCGACTTTTCTGTGTCTTGTTGACGTCTTTATTTTTCTTTGTGCGAATAGTAGAGCTTGGATCAGTAGATTAGGTCGCTTCATTGTAGTTGTACAGTTGTGTTAGTTACAAAAGTACAAGTACTAAATGACATGTTAAATGCATGTCCGTAGCAAATCTAGATTTTATTTGAGCAAGGGACATTGACAATACATAGAAACTTTTATACTTGTTTCAGTTCCCTTTGCATTGTCGTGTCATAAAGGTCGTCAGTAAATGATCCCTCCATCGGTTGTACTAACTCAAAAGTACCATCGAGGTCCTTTATTTATTCTCTTCGAAGTATCTTTCAAGAAGTTCCGCAGCTGTAACGAATGTCGATACCGGATAGTGTGCGGCATCGTATGGCTTATGAGGTAATCCCGTACCGTTCGGGTACGAGTCTGTCATGGGAAACACATCAAGGATATCGAATCCAGCATCGCACATGGCTTTTGTAGCGTAAGCGTTGTAAAGTTGTAAACGCTGTAAAGTGGGAAAAAGTAAAGAAATGTTAGTTATTTATTACTCGGAGTATTCGAAACGCGCGCTGATGCGTCTCATCTTTTTCACACGATTCCCGGCCGGACTCGGTGTAGTCTCCCTCGCATCCGTTTTTAGTGTCGGTCGTGAGCGTTGCGTTACGACCGACACTAAAAACGTTTGCGAGGGAGACTAGACTCGGTGTCATATGTGAATAAAGTTCCTATTTGGTTTACTCCTTTTTTTCAAATTCGATCATTGAACGAGGGGAACAGGTTTCTTATCCACTGGCTATTTCCACTGGCATTAAGTTTAATGTGCGTTGCTGAGTTTTCCGTCTTACCTGATATGTCAGAAACCTCAAGGACTTTGAATGTCTGGCTCCTGTTCGAGGATCTCCGTATTTCTCTCTATTCATTGCAGTAGTTGTCTTCCATATCATTTGTCCACGATAATTTCTTCCAATGTCTCCATTTTCCCCAGCCTCCCCTCCCTTGAACAGCATAATTGTCCTATCAATCAATTCTCTATATTTCGTAAAGTTTATATTCTGAACATAGTGAAGGCCAAGGTTAAGTATAATGACACTGCTGTTGTCCTCTCTCATCGAGGTGTCGTTCAAGACCTCGCTGATTTCGCTCAAAAGTTTCTCTACGCTGAAATCTAAGTCGTCATTTTGGAGTTTCCCAATCGTCTGGTTGCCTCCCGGAAGTTTATACACCCAGTTGTATGTTCTGTTACATTGTTTAAATATTTCCCTACACAAAGGACGTCTCTGGATGAGCTTATAAAAGAAATCACCGTTGGAATCACCATATATCCATAATGTACCCGTCTTCCTTTTATGGGGTCTTCTTAGCTCACCTAAAGTGACATTAAGTGCAAAATACACTAATCAAAGACTTTTACTTGAGTAATGAATTGTTACTATTTACCAATAAAGGTGCTACCGTCTTTCTTCTTTCCTTGCCTGCTTTCCGTTACTTTTCTCCTTTTCTTTTGGCCTGCTTGCGGATATGCTGACTAACTGATCTAACCATACCAAGGTGGACTACCGTAACACGTTTATGCACAAACCACGTGATATTTTTATTAGAAATCTCTCTCGTATTCATTATTATTTCAATGAGTAAATGATTACCGCGTGTATATCGAAGCCATTTATTTTTGATCCAATATCCTTCACCTTCTGCAATGTACCTACACTTTATACCACAGGCAGGATAAAAAGACGGGAACAATGCTGCGTATTCTGTGAAAAAAGAAATAGTAAGCTCTTTACCTAATGTAAAATAGGACTTGTGCGTGTATAATGCATATTGTCTTAGCGACTTCCATACGACTGGCATAATTATCTGGAAAGGAGGTATGGATATGAATGAATTGTTGATCTTTGGTTGCATGGGCTAAATAAACCTATGCCTGGACAAATCTGATGAATGTTTATCTACTTTCGCTTCCATTCAAATCTTTATTCGTTCGTTTCTTCTCATCTGGATTGCGGTTGTTCTGTTTTCGTATGGCAGCGTTCTTGCAAGTAGGCGTACATTGTAAATATTGCAGATTAATAGTATTATATCTATCTTCCTTTTAGTTTCTATTTTATATTGTATATTGTGTATATGTTTAACAGGGCTCCTTTTGATAGCAGAGGCATTTTTCCACCGACTGGACTACCCTGTTGTTATTTTCATAAAGGTGTCTACCTATCTTCGTTCGTTCTTTCGTTGGTTCTTTCGTTCGTTCGTTCGTTCCCTTCCCTCTTCTTATTTTCGCGAAGATGTGATAACCTCCTATTCTCATCCTGAATTAACCCCAGTGAAGATAGCACGCCTCATTTTCGCCTCATCAGAAAGGACAAGGATTAGTCGTACTTACTAGCGAATTGAGGTTTCCTTGAAGGAATTATCTTTACATTTATCGGCACACCATTCCATAAAGAACTGATGAGGAAAGGCTTCTCGAAGCCAGGAAGTGCGTTAGGTGGTTGATATTTACCTTGGGCGTTACCTTTAGAAGTAGACAAAATCGTCAATATGTTTTTATATGAAAATTGAAAAAAAGTAGAAATGTCCTTGAATACTCCTTGAAAAAAATTGTCCATGAAAAAATATCGGTAAAACTTTCAAGATATGTAAACCATGAGTCGTTGTCATTGGTTAAAATTAGAGATTTTCACTACGTCTCGGGAGAAGCGTCTTTTTCTATATCTTTTTGCTTTCCAGAACTTAGTGGCTCAATGTACCGTGGATATCACGTGACAAATTCGCACATCTCGATTAGCATTGGCATTTTTTTCATATTTTTTTACGGATACCAAAATAAAACCCTCTTAAGAGTTACTCCTTGAAAAATATCATTTTGGTCCTTGAATACTCCTTGAAAACTCCTTGAATAATTTCTTGGGAACCTAGCACGAACCCTGCTATAAACTGCTGCAAGATTTTCTTCTCTTGCTTGTCCATATTGGGTTTATAATACTATACAAGTCCAGATATAAGTTCATTACACTAGATAAAAGTACTTACTCGACAAATCTATTTACTGAAGGCTAATTGCAAATGGATATTTGTTCTGGATAAAGAATAAAGCCACTTAGGTTTTTATAAATCTCTCTATATAGGAGCCTCCTCATATGACCCGGACAAGGGATTACTGTAAATACTGAATGATATCACACATCTTTCATAAACTAATTAGGAACATCCTCACGATCCTTGAATATAGAATAGACCATTTTCGAGTTCCAACTTACCGCTGTGTTCCTTGGTTGCAGCCGACTCATTTCTGAATATTGACTAATACCAACTTCGACAATACAAACACCAATAGAAGTTCCACGCACGGACCTTCACTGGAACACATTGATATTCTGCACAAAATCCAGGCTAATCCTAAGCAACAGAGAACTTTATAACATATTTTTAGGAGAATGAATAATAATTTCACTTACCCTTTATAAACCAATCTACGGTAGGCTCTTTATGGCCATCACAAAGAGAATACTCAAGCACTATGGTAACTTTGTAGTTTCCTGGTACAGGAGGTAGAAACACCACCTCATACGTCCCATTATCATGATCAATAACCGTAGGAGATACCGACGAAGGTCCTCTAATGTGAACCCTCCATGAGTCTCCTCCGAATGCTTTGTTTTTGCCTTCCAGAGAGACAGTCTGGAGTCCAATGCGACTGAACTCCCCAGCAGGCTGAATGTCCCACAAAGTCAAGAAAGATTTTTTAGTGCTTGTTTGGTTTCTAAATGTATAGTACTGTTTATTGAAGCCCCATTTTGTGTTGTCTGCACAAGGGCTTCGTATACCTTTCCAGTCAAGTCTTCTCTTACTGTGAAGACACCAGGAGGATATGAACTCCACAAATTCAGAAAGTTCTGCTTCGTCGTAAGAAAATGTCGGGAACTTTTGTTCCCACTCATCGAGTCGTGCACGATTTCTTAGGTAGATGTAAATTAGAAAAATATATATTGCTGTTAGTGTGGTGATCACTAAGCCACTACGTCGTCTAGTCTGGTGTATGACGTATTGTGAGCATCCATGGTATCCCATAGGGGTACTACTGTCAGTCAGGATTTACCTGCAAATTGCCTTTAAAACATAACAAGTTTTAAATTAGGTTAACTTAGTTAATTAAGATAAAAACACAGGCAAAATGGAAAAAAAAAAAAAAAAAAAAAAAAAAAAAAA